CAATATTTTACCAGAAAAAAAAAGAAAAAAGTAAAAAAGTTAGTACTACTGACTGCAGGCTGCATATTTAATTATAGTGTATGTGTAATATAAGGAAACTTTTTAAACTTTTATAACTGACTGCAGGCTGCATATTTAATTATAGTGTATGTGTAATATAAGGAAACTTTTTAAACTTTTATAACAATTTAAAGCCTTTTTGCTTAAACTGTTTTGTTTTGAATTTTTGTATTTATGTTATTTATGTATTAAAAAATATTCGGCAAGATTAAAAGCAACAACAAAAAATTATTATCCAAGCGGAAGACTTGAACTTTTGATGACTGTTACCCAACCGCTCACAGAAATTCGCACCTAATCACCGAGTTACTAATACTTTTTTAAAAAAAATTAAAATGAATTCTTTTATTAAAAAATTAATAACGATAATAATTCATTTGCCATGACTCATTCACCCCCCCTCCTTCTTGCTTGCTAAAATTTACGTCATAATTTAATAATCTGTCAAAACTAGTCTTAAAAACAACTTAATTTATAAAGAATTTTTAACCTAAATAGCTTCTACTAAAATTTCTTCTTTCTGAAAAACTGATAAATGTTGATTAGACCCACATTATCCCATAGATCAAGATTACCCAATCTACCCTAAGAGTTTTGACTTCTTTTTATTTCAGAATATTCAACAAGCAATGCATATTTTATGACTAACAAACTCAACGAATTTTTTTAGTTAATCGATTTCTATTTTAAATTAACACTTTCTTCTTGAAGATTTAAAAACTTAAAGTATTTTAATAAATGTCTAATAAATTTCTAATTTAAGAAATAATAGCCATTGTCATTTTTAATCTAGTTTACAAAAAAAAAAAAAAAAAAAGAAACAAAAAAAAAACGTCAGTTCATGCGAATCCCTTTTTACTTTGATCAAAGTTTGAATAGATTGATGTTTAACGCATTGTTTAAAAGCAAAGGTTTCCGCGTTATCAATTGCTATAAATAACTAAAGCAAAACAAAAGGTAACTGCTGCATTTTATTTGATTATACGTCAAAATGACGATTATCAATTTGGCGATTATGTCATAATGACGATTAAATTTCCAATTAAAAAAAAATTTTATTAAGTAAAATGTTGTAAGTAATACATTGTGCTATTTTGTTTAAAAGTATTTTAAACATACAAGAAAAAAAAAGTTTAGATTTCCGTCAAAAATGAAAAATATATTCAAATTTGAATCCTTAAGAGATTTGTAAAAATATATTCAAATTTGAATCCTTAAGAGATTTGTAAAAATATATTCAAATTTGAATCCTTAAGAGATTTGTAAAAATATATTCAAATTTGAATCCTTAAGAGATTTGTAAAAATATATTCAAATTTGAATCCTTAAGAGATTTGTATAAATATATTCAAATTTGAATCCTTAAGAGATTTGTAAAAATATATTCAAATTTGAATCCTTAAGAGATTTGTAAAATTTAATTGTAGAGAGTAGCAATCTCAACTTCAATCAAAAAAACGATGTTTTGACCTCCTGGAAACTTCTTTCCATGTTTTGACCTACAACTCCTAGAAACTTCTTTCTATGTTTTGACCTACAACTGCTGGAAACTTCTTTTAACTTTACAGGATAGTTAATAAAATGGAAACAGCGGAAAGTAGTCGGTAAAATGCGAAATGCGAACTGCGAAGTGACAAAATGCAAACTTTTTTGCGAACCATGATCCTATTGGTTTTTAATATTGTGAAGATTTTTTTTATTATCCGTTTGCCGTTTAATTGTTTGTTTTGCTATATATTTAAGGACATCAAACAAAAGCAAAAATGATATTTAATTTAAAAGAAATAAAGTTTAATTAAAGAAAAATAATCTGTTTTTTTTTTTGTTATTCACTTCTTCAAGGCCGAGAAGGCCACAACAGACGAGGAGGCTACTTAATAGTGGTTATAACCCTCTCTCAACTCTATAACTCCGAAACACGAACCTTGACGAACAAGGCCGGTGCGCGGATAAACAAGTTGAGCGCGGTACTACCAGGGACGTGGTGGGGATCGTTCAATTATATTTAATTCAAATTTAAGAATTAAAGAGAAAACGTAATTATAAATATTATAACTGTAATGATATTAAAATATGTCTTGATTCGCAAAAAAGTTGGCATTTTACCAGTTTGCAGCTCACGGGTCGCAATTTCCCGATTACCACTTTACAGTACTCATTTTAGAAAAAGGGAAAACGGGGTAACATAGCTTTTCATGTACTAATAATTCATAAACTCAACAAAAAAACTTAAAAAAGGGTGAAAACGAAACTGTGTTTACATCTTGTATTTTAAAATGCCAACTGTTTTTTTTTAAATATTATTAACGCAATAGTTTATTTTTACGCATAAGTTTACTTTTTGGGTTTAAAAAAAAACACCTTGCTTTCGGTTATTTATAATGAATAGTATCCTTCGGGTGTAAATGTTTTAGAAATATTTTTTTGCAACGCGTGTTGATTTTGTGTTTCTTTAGTTAGATTAGTTAGTAGTTTTTAAATTTTTATGAAATTGGAGTCTGAAATAGCATAAAAAGTCATCTTGCTCCGGTCACGTGAACATATGACATATTTATTAACTTTTTATTCACATTTTTCTACTAAAAATTCATGCAGACAATGAATCATTATGATAAAATGAACATACTGACAAAGTATTACTGCTTCATGACTGAGAGTTTTGCAATAACTTAAAGCTTTCAAAACGTTTGCCATCTTGCCCCGCTTTCCCCTATCACTTGTATTATTGCATTTTTACTAAAAGTTTCAGTAAAAATGTTTTAGTAAAACATTGGCAAAAAATGTTTTAGTAAAACCTTGGCGTCAAATTTTTTTTTTTAATTTAGTATTTATTAAACAAAGCTTACATATCAATTAAAACATTTTCAAAGACATGAGATATTCTTAATTACACAAAATGCATTATTATTTTCTATAAGTTAATGTTGTACGAGTTTACTAAAGATTATTAAAGTTTACTTAAAAAAAAAACTTTATATCATCTAAATTCTATAAAATAAATTTTTTTAGTAAACATCTAATAGATGTTTACTAAAAAAAGTTTGCTAAGTAAAAATATCGGATAAATTTCCTTTTTTTTTGATAAACTTTTTCAACGACGCTAAAATAATATTTAAGATAATTATAAAAAACGACGCTAAAAATTATAACGCGCATACGATTTTAGTCGGCGACGCATCTGATCTATAACAATCAATTTCAAATGAGATTTTTTAGTGAGATAGTCTGAACTCCTGTTTAATAAAATATAAACAAACTGTCAAACTTAAACAAACAAAAAATGCTAGTTTGCTTGTGTTTTTTTTTTTTTTTTTTTGACGTAACTGCTTTAAAAAAATTTAGATAAAAAATTAAATCAATTAACATAACATAAAAAAAAAAAAATTTAGATATTAATGAAAAGTTGCTTTTAAAAAAAAGATGATTATTCATATAAAAATATGTATAAAAGAATTTTTTTTTTTGTCAAAAGCTATTGATCTGAATAAATTATTTTTTCATTCAAATCGATAGGTTCTAACAAATTTAAAGTTAATTTTTTAGAAAACCAGCTTTACAGTTCATGGTTGAATGTATGTTTACTTTCTTAAGAAACAAATAAATATATAGAAACCAAAAAATCCCAGAATATTAATACATTAATTAATTTTTTTTCTATTAAAAAGCGTAACACATTGTAGAAAATCACTGTATTTTGCAACTTTGTTTATAACAAACGTTGTGGACCGTAAAAATCGTGCACTTCTATTTCTCACTTTTACAGCATTGTCATGATCTTACAATGTAAAATTAACAGAGTATTCATATTATTTATTAACCAAAGAAAAGGTTTGGACTTACAATTCCTTTTTTATGCAATTATTTATTTTTGATTTCTTTTCTTTGGTCGAAAAAGTTAGATAGTTTCTAAATCAAATTAAATGTATTTTGAAATAGATTTTACGGATTTCACGTTTATCTCTATGACTTTTATTGAAGCTATTATTTACATGTAAACTATTTCTTTCATTAGTTGTTTTTAGCTGAAAGAAAAAAAAATTGTTAAAAAATCAAAAATTTTACTAAAATAAATTAAGTGGTAGACCTTTTCGTAGTGATACTTTGAGTTATTAAGCTAACAAAGTATGATTAATGATAACTTTCATAGCAATATATAAAATGTAATAGCACTGTATAATAGCAATCATATAAAAAAAATGAAAGTTAAATTTAAGGTGAAGGTACATCAGGGCTCAGTTCTCACTCAATTATTAGCTGTTCATATCTGTCATCACAGAATATATATATATATATATATATATATATATATATATATATATATATATATATATATATATATATATATATATATATATATATATATATATATCATAGTGATTCATTAAAGTGATTTTTTCAACACTCCTTATATTTATAAAACTACATTTTTATCTAACAAATAAAAATTCAATAAAAAAATGTTTTCTCTAATTTTCTATTTTTAGTAACGAAGTTATAAAACTTAAAACATCCCATAACATAAAATTGATGTTTTTAAAAAGAAATGCATTTGACTTGCTAAACTAAAATTTAAATATTAGTATATAAAAAGCAATAAAAGATCAGTTATAAACGGTCAAGATCAGTTAAATATATGAAGTAAGTTACTGTAATACAAAACTATATTTGCAAAGATAATATAAAAAAAAAATTAAAAAAAATATGAAATTAGTAAAAAAAAAAAAAAAAAAAAAATTAGAAAATGTGATACAAGAAATTATGATATAAGCCAAAGATAATACAAGAAGATTAGAAAAGATGATTCTTTTTTTTTTCAAAGAGAATAATATTAATGGTAATATTAATAGTATAGATATTAGCAAAAATGGGATAACAGTTTAAATAGATAATTTTTAAAAGGTATATTAAGTAAAATTTATATATAAAAAATAATAACACAGTTTAGTATTAGAAATTAATTAGAATTTATAGCAACCATCATAAAAACTTTTTACTGATGAAAACTATTGATCATTGTATGTTAAAAAACTCTTTATATTTAATTAATTCTTTTTTGTATGTTTGAAGTTGAGTTTCTAAATCCAATCCTTCATTATACTGTTCATCCTGCTCTAGTGAAAAAAACATTTCTAATACAGCAGGTGCCTGACATTGTCTGTATAAACCTCCAACTGAACCATCTTCTGAACAAAAAGCTGGACGCAATTCTACTAGTACAAAGTCATCTTCATAACCAACAGCTTCAGCTCTTTGAGCTGAAAAATCTGTAGTTATTTTAACATTTTCTACAAGTTTATTAACATTTGTTTTTGAATCACTAAATGAGCAATCATTTGTTTTTAAATTAGACGGTTCTTGAAGTAATGAAAGAAAAGGAGGTACATCAGGCAAATCTGGCAAATCTAAATCAGGAAAATCATCAATAGCACTAGAAGGATTCGCAAAAGCTGCAATGGGCTGGAAATTTTCATTTGTTAGTTTTGATAGGGGTTTGCAAGCTTCATTTGTGTTTGATGGTGAAAGAGGAGAAAACCAATTAGGCAAACATGACTCAACTTCTGATGCAGCTAATGCAATTTCAGTCTCCATTATTTCTAAAGAACGAAAACCTGAAATAAGTTGATCTTTTTGTCTATCAAGAGGTACAAGTGTATCTGTATTATATATTGCATACAAAGGTACATGAATTCCAGAACCATTTAACCAAATTTTATTTTTGAAAAGTACAGACAAAGTAATATTACCACAGGGTGTTTCAACAGTACCAATATTAAGTTTGTTATGCATTTCATAGCTATGCAAAGGGTATATTTCTGTATGAACTTTAAAAAAAAGGAAAAAATCATGATCTATCTCTCTACTCAAATGATATAATGGTAATATTCTTGATAAAACAATTACTGATTTAATAAGAATAGAAAATCTGTTGTAAACAGAAAATTGATTTTTAAATTTCTTCTCATTTTCAAAACTATTTGTATTTAATATTTGCCAAGATTCAAGAACAGTAAATCGCCCTTCTAAAGTTTTTAACACAATATCTAAACAAATACTTTCATGGGTACCAATTGTTTTTTTCCCAAAAAGTTCGGCAATTTTTTTATTCAGCTGACAACTTGAACTTTTTTCTGGTAGAGCTATATTAAACCAATCTAATCCTTTTGAATATGCATTACAGCTAGTTTTGGTTCTTCTTCCACTTCTAGATTGGATAACAGACTGTAAAGATTTAGTAATAAAAAACTTTATATACTTGGCCACTTCTTTTTGAGCTGAACCATTATCTTTTCCATTACATTCTATATCCATTTATAATTAAAATTACTACTTTAATATTAAGTCAAAATATTGGTATTAATAATGTAGTTATCGATATTTAGTTTTTTAGAAGTATTATGCTTAATTCATTTTTGAAATCCATTTTTTTTCTAACACTACCATCTTTGTTGATATATCCCAGACTTCTTATTAATTTAGCTCTCACTCGCTGATGTTAAATTTTTAAATTAGCGTAGCGTGTCATATTTTTATTTCGTTTCAAATAACTTCCCTTAAAGTTATATGAACCATAGCTGTTTAGACAGTTTTTCATTTTCAGTGTTTCACTAGATATTCATAATGGACAACAGAGATGGTATTGGAGCAACTGGATTGAAGACTAAGATTATAGTGAATTACATACCGCAAAGCATGAGTGATGATGAATTTAGACAGTTATTTAGTCAATGTGGTGCTCTACAAGAATGTAAAATAATTCGAGATAAACAAACGAACTATAGTTTTGGATACGGTTTTGTTGATTATTTAAAACCAGAATTTGCAAGTTTAGCTATTTCCAAGTTAAATGGATTTCAAATACAAAATAAAAGTATTAAAGTTGCATATTCAAAACCGCCAGGGTGTAGTAAAAATGCCAATCTCTATGTTACTGGACTAGGAAAACATACAAATGAAAAATCTTTAGAAGAGTTATTTGGAGTTTATGGTGAAATTATTCAAACAAAATTACTAAGAGGAGCTGACGGTACTTCTAAAGAAATTGGATTTGTTTTGTTCAAAGAAAAGCCACATGCTGATAATGCTATAAAAAATTTGCAAGGGTATTCCGATGGTAATGGAATGAATTTACAGGTATGATTTCTTGTTTTGCCTAATATTAATGACACTGGTGGGTATTGCACAAAATATAGGATTGTAAAAGATTCAGAAAGAGATTCAGATAAACTAATCTCTATTTGAATCCTTAAAAATCCTTTATTTTGTTCTTTACCCACTAATGTCATAAATATTAATTATATTACAAATTGTAAAATGTATGTACAATTTTCATAAAAGATTCATTCATCATAAAAGATTGCAAATTGTACATACATTTTATGGCGGACATGTATTTCAGGCACCCCCTTTAGTAAGTCTGTAAAAAACAAGTCACGTTTTATGCATAACATTTATTAAAAATTATACTCTAATCCCGAACCCCAAAATAAAGTTTATTATATTGAAAGCCATACCCAAACCAAACCCGGACCCTAACCATAACTTTCAGGGTTAGGGTTTGGTTAGGGTATGGTTTTCAACAATACTCGTTTCGTGTAAGACTTTTTTACAGACTTACTAAAGGGGGGTGCCTAAAATACATATCCGCCCATTTTACAATTTGTATTTAAACCAAACTTTATTGAGTTCATAAATATAGGCACAGTGGAGCGTTCATGCATTGACTGAGAGTTTTGGTTTAGGCAGGCATTCGTTTAATTACAAAAGTTTTCTTCAAGTTTTTTGGTTTTAAATTTATTCTAGTCTTTATCTAATTTAAATCATTAAGTTAAATTTTAAATCTTAATTGACTAAATATACCTTGTAATTATTATTAAATATACACATTGTTGGGCTATTGTAAAAACAAAAAAAACTTAAATAAAGGTTAACAGATTTTATTTAAGTCAGTAAAGCATATTGTAGTTTTCACAAAATTATAAAAATGTCTTTCTAATCTAGAAGTTTTTGTTGTTGAAAATAATTTCACAAAGTTTTTCACAAAGAAATTCATTCCATTCCATTTTGAATTAATATTTTTTGAATTTAATATTTTAAAATTCAGCAATTATGCAATTTTATTATAAAAAATTTTTTTTTTGTAAAAAAAATTGTAAAATTGCATAAAACTTTGTAAAAAAAGTTTTTGCATTTTTTTGTGTGATTTATGTATAGTCAGTAATTTTTGCACCAGAAATAAACTTTTGCTTAAAAAGAATAGATTGGAACTTATTAAAAACGCTAAACACACATACAAATTTATTTTTAATTGCTTCATTAAATAACACTACAAAGTTTATAGCGCACCCAATTAATGTAACAATCATATTTTGTAATTAAGCACCTTATACTAACACTCAGTATAGTTATTTTTTTATTGGAGGAGTTTAGGGAAATGCATTCTAATTCAAAAAAATTATTTTTAATCAAAAGTTAACCATCTTGCCTGTAGATTTTTAACGTCTACAAATTAATTACCTAACAAACACAAAGCTTCTGTTGTTTTAGAATATTCAACACAAGTAGCGGCCCACAATTCCTTTTATAAGATAAAGATAAATCAGTTTGACAATCTAAATTCTTTTATAAGTCTAAACTTTAGTCTAAATAAGTCTAAACTAAGTCTAAACTCCTTTAACAATAATTTATACAGTTTCAATACCATTCTTAACAATATGCAAAACAGTTGGCACTACATTATCTAAATTTATTATGAAAAAAATTATAGGAGCAACTGATATAGTCTGTTTTAATTAAATTCACAGAACAATTCAGAAGAACCAATGTTGTCATAGTCTAAATAAGAATTAAAAACAACTAAATCCTTATCACCGCTTAAAAGTATTTGCAAATTTGGTAACAATCTCAACGTAGTTAAGAAGAGATCCAAAGAAAAATATAGCATTCAGGCCCTTTTGTTTTCAAAAAACACCGTTTCATTTTGTGTGCATTTTGATTGGTTTATTTAAAAAAAAAATAACGAAGCTCGTTGTTTTATTTTGTTTACAAATATTCGGCAATTTAAAATCTACGAGTTTAAGATTTTTACTAATTACTTTGTGGCAGAAACCTTTTTTTTAGGTAATTTATTCAAACGACTATAAAGAGATTATGAAAGTAAATTGCTATGAGAGAAAAATAATGTGATAACTTTGATTTTAACATTTTTACTGTTTACGGAAAGATAAAATATGAGGTTTTTAGCAATTTATTGAATATTTTGATGCTGTAAACATAGTAGCTTTTTATTTTTAAATATAAGGTTTTTTTTCTTTCTTTTTTTTATTACATGAAGCTTGTGACAGTTGCATATTAAAAAATGCATCATTTTCTAAAGAAGCTTCATAATTATTTTTATAATGATTTTTTTTTTGATGTTCATCACATCAGGTCAAATTCCTTACTGTAAGTTAAAATCTATTGGCAAGAAATTTTTTTTTAAATTAATTTTTATTTATAAAGTCAAAAATTCTTGTGACGTCAAGTTCGCTTTTATATTGAGTGAAACAGAATCAATAACAAAATACCAAAAATTCCTAAAAAAATTTATACATATAATAAAAAGTATATAATTAAAAAAATAATATTAAATAAGTGTTACTAGATGTTTTGCCTTGTTAATTTTTTATGAGATACCATAATTCAGTATAAAGTTTTATGCCGATTTATTATAATGTAAAAATGTAGGCCTGAAAATTTAAGAAAAGTACTTTAATTCATTTTTATATTTTACAAAATTAACCTAATACTCTAATCTTTATTATTGTTACTAATTTTCTAAATAGGCTATTTTTAAAATTAAACTCCTTTGAAATTTATGGTTTCATTGTGGAAAGTGCTAGAACATTAGATTTACTTTGATGATTTTATTATTTCTTAACATTTTTAGATATGTTTTGAGTGGTTTATAATGACAATTTTTGTAGGATATTTATATATTATTATCCAATATAATGCTCTGTAAAAGTTTGTAAAAATCAGAGTTGAGTATGTTAAAGCACAAAGCATCTGGCGTTTTTCTATTTTTAACTTACATTACATGCCCAGCAACTTGAATTGTTTACTTAATTATTAGCAATTATGTATAAAAGCTGGTAGTCTAAAGAATAAAATAAGCTAAAAAGTTTTGAGTCTGGCAAAACAATGGCGAACTTAAGACCCAAAACATTGTTTAACTTACTTTATGCAGAAAAACAACAATAAAAATGTTTCATTTTTTAGGTCAGATTTCTGTGAATCTGTATCATGATTCTTATTGAAACATGATTTTGTGTATCAGGATTCTTATTGAAACATGATGTTGTGAATTTATTACTCATTACAAAAAAAAAAAAAGTTCTATTAGAGTTGACCTACTCAGGAAAATAAATGTTTTATTTTGGCACTAGATATTTAACATTACATCACGTACGACTATCAAAGTAGACTTCCATCAAAATCAGCTCATATTTTTGCGACAAAAAATATTGGCGAGTTTATGATTTACAGAAAACTAGTTTATTGATTGTAAAAAAGTAGCCAAAACCTTATTAGGTCATTATTAAGTTCACCAAAGCCGTATGTGGCTATCGTAGCTTATATATCAGCTAAAGCGGTATGAAATTGTTCCATTGTCCTCATATATTTAATGCCAAGCAAAACTATTTTAAACTCTAGCCCAGTAGTATTAAAACTCATTGTTAATATTAAACTCATTATTTTTTATTTAATGTATGTGTATTTATATATGCTCATTTCTACGTCTGCTGTAAATTCTAGATTTAAATAGTAATTTCCTAAACAAAAATAATTTTTTTAAAATAGTTATTCATAAAAAATATTTATTGAATTATGAAAACTGTCAATTTAAATATTGATATGATGGCAATAAAATCCGAATTAACGTTTTATTAATTTATTGTGAGTTATTTTTATTTTTAAAAGTTTAAAAATTAATTTTATTTTTAAAAGTTTACATCTATTTCTAATTATTCTAAAAATTTTCTGTCTCTTTGGTCAAATTGTCTTTTGTTGGTTCTTTACAATTGAAAGTCATAGAATAGTATTAGGCAATTATTAAAAATAAAACAAACAGAATATTTGCATAAAGGTTTAAAAATTTCATGGAATAAAGCATCAAATAGCTGGGCTTTTGAGCCGAGGTCAAAATATTAGCTCAGGCTCTGACTCCATTAAAATTTTTAGCTTCTGCTCCAAAGAGGCTCCAGAAAAAACAAATCAAAATAATAAATTTTATAAGATAGAGAGTTTCAGCATACACCTGTTATCTCCAGGGGGTGTTAGTACAAACGCTAGCACATTTGCTAACACAGCAAATTTAAAAATCATTAAGCACGAAAATCTTTCAATATGCGCATTTCAAGTCATTAATTTTAAGTAATTAATTTTCATCACTTTTAGAAAGTGGCTTCCAAATTTTTCATCATTTTAAAAAAGTAATGGATTCCAAATTTTCATCACTTTTAGAAAGTGGCTTTCAAATTTTTCCAAATTTAGAAAGTAATTGCTTCCAAATATCGTGATTTTTAGAAGTAAAAGTTATAGTATTTTCTAAAAATAATTTCAAAAACAATTTCAAGAACAAAAATCTGCTCTATAAACAATTAAAGTGATCTTACTAGAAAATCTGCATCAAAGTTTACTTTCAATTTAAAGATGACATTGGGAGTTAAAGAGACGTTAACCTCAAAAATACTAAAGCAAATCATTCAAAACAAAAGTATGTTTTAAACTCATTAATTATTGATGTAACGTACCTTAAGCAGTAGTTAAAAATATGGTTTCTAGCATACGTTTTAAACTCGATACATTATAAAGAAAGTTTCCCTTAAATTTTTTAATTGTTTAAGACAAATTCTTTTGTATTCTTACCACTGCCTCGACATACGCTCGTATGCCAAACTCTCTAGTATCAGGTTTTGGTAGTTAAATCAAGATTGCTTGATGAAAACTCAAGTGCAGAAAATAGCCTTTCTATACTTGCTTGTGAGAAAGCTATAGAAGTGACTCAGCACACCTCGGTATCCTTTTTTGGGTATTCCTCAATTCTCTCAAATGCTGATTTCACATTTAAGCTTTCTTTTTCTTCCGGTCGTGACAGTCGTCTGTGAAATTTGTATCAAAAAATTATTTTTTTAAATAAAAGTATTTTTATTTAAAAAATAATTTTGATCACACTTCTCAATTTTTTCTATTTATCAAGCTTTTTTTCAAACTTGTCTTATTCTTCATCAGAATTAGATATGTCTTATTCTTCATCAGAATTAGATCAGAAAACTGAATGAAGTGCTGTACATGATACAGCTGTTTTTCTTATTTGTTGACTTACTGTTATATAATTTTAGCATCTCTTTTTAAAAGTTATTTTCTCCTATTGCTATAAAGGCTTGATTTGCTCATATATCTGATTCTCTTCTAACAATATTTATAAACTAACAACAACAAACTGCAGCTAGAAATATTTTATGAATTTCTGAGTTACCGGACTTTTGCCAATAATTAAGTAGTGTATGGTTCTTTTAAAGCATCACAATTAGCTAGCTGCAAAGTATGAACAAGTGTTCCTTATTAGGGTTGTTCAAAAAAATAAAATTTTTAAACTGCGAATACACAGGAAGCGAAATTTGTGCCAAATATAAAAAAAATACGATTCCAAATAAAAATTCCAGAAATATTGACATTTACCTTGTGCTCAAATTGTTCCTAAATTATATACATACATACATACATACATACATACATACATACCTACATACATACATACATACATACATACATACATACATACATACATACATACATACATACATACATACATACATACATACATACATACATACGTACATGCATGCTAGTTACTAGGCGTCAGATAAGTTTTTTGTCTTTGCAAATTAGCAGAAAAATATATATTAATAAATGTTTATTGACCCTAATGAATGCATAATTACAGTTATTAAAAAGATTAAATGGTTATTGTTAAAGAATAATTATTTAAACTTATCAAATATTAGGTATTATGTATGAAATGTTTTGTTTCTGCTTAATTCATGTTGTTTATGAAATAGCTTTGTAGTCATTTTATTTTTAAATTTTTCTGTTTAACTAATAATAACTCTTATAGATAAAGTATGCTAAAGATCAAAATGAAAATCAGAAGCAAATGCCAAAGTTCAATGGCTTTTATCAAACCAATATGCAAAGGATGTCTCAAAGTTCATTAATGGCAGAAAGTTACCCGTATAATGTTGCTCCATACAGTGCTGGTGTTATGGGACGTGGAATGGACTATGGAGGAGGCTATGATAGTGCCATGGGTATCGGAAAAGCTATTCGTGGTCGAGGTGTTGGTACACGATTTAATCCACTTGCAAGACCTTTAAATAGTGACATTGGTTTAGAGCAATATGACCCTTTTACAGAGTCGATAGTATTGTTTGTTTATAATATTGGTCCTAATGCGCAGGACAGTGACTTGTATGGTTTATTTTGTAGGTTTGGTAGGATTAACAAAGTAAATGTTATAGCAGGTAAAGGATATGGTTTTGTACATATGCCTGTACTCAATGAGGCACAAGCAGCAGTTAATGCTTTAAACGGAATGTTTTATAATGGTAAAAATCTTCAAGTTTCTGTTAAGGCCAGCAAGTAATAATTCATCTTAAGGTAATCATTAAATTTCATTTCTGAAACATCAAAAGTTTTAATGATATCCTTTAAAAAATTATTTTAATGAAAAGCTTCTGGATGGTTGTTAACTATTTTTTGTCGAGTCTGTTGCAATCATGTGTTAAATGACGAAGTGAAAAACCTCTGGCACTAGTTTTAGTCGTACCATTTTCAGATAAATGCCAATGCATTTGAAAATGTTTTTCATTTGCATTTGTGGTACCGTTAACAATTTGAGTGCTTTTCTGGTAATTTCGGTCCAGTTTTTTTTGTTTTGTTTTGTTTTTTTTTTATTTTCAACGAACAGTTTTATTTACTGAGCAAATTTCTTTTTTTCTTTTTGTTTCCTTTTGGTTTTTTGAATCTACTGTTGTTTTTTTTTTTGTTTAATTTAAAAAAAATTTTTTTTTTTTAAATTTTTATTTTGCATTGATCAATCAATAATAACAAACAATCGCTTTTTTTTTTTTGTTTCGTTTTTTTCTTTTTTGTTTTTTCTTTTTTTTTTCTTTTTTTTTTTGGTTTTGTTAAATTATTACTCTCAATTTTAGTTTAAGTTAATTTTTTTTTATTATTTTTTTTTTGTTTATTTTTGTTTGGTATTTATTTTTCGCTTTGTTTTTTTTTTTTTCTTTTTTTTTTTGTTTTGTTTTTTGTTATGGTTATTTGATTTTGTTTTTATTGATATGGTAAGTTTTGTTTTTTGTTTTATTTTTTTGCCCATGGTAAGTTTTCAAAGGATTTTGGCTTTACCAATCCTCAATTTGAAGGAATTTATTTTTTTGTCCGAAATTATCAGAATGTACAAGTTAATAAAATATTATTGCTCCAAATAATATTAAATAAAATAACTTCATATGTTTAGGTAATGCAAGATATCATCTTGGGTTTATTTAAACTCTAAAGAAAACAACTGACGTTGATTTCTTTTAATATTTAAAAACATTTTAAATCAAATATTATAAGGCCAAAGTTTTCTATTAATTTTTTAGATAAAATATAAATTTTATTTATTAATAAAATAGTCAGGCATGTTCATTGTACTAACTGGAATGGCTTAGTTTTAAAGTTTAGAGTGTTGCTGGGAGTGTTGATATGGATTTATTAATGCTGATAATATGTTTTATTCTTTATTTTTCATAATACACCTTCGCCAACATAAAACGTTATATTAGATGCAGCCAACAAATGCCAACATATTACAGTCGTTATTTGAGTACAGCCGACAATGTGACGGTTGTAATATAAAGGTTTTAACAGATTAATGTTAATTGGGTGGTAGTGATGCGTGAAGGAGCTTAAGGAACACCTGCCTCTATTGTTGACAATTCTGCCATGTAAACTAACAGTTCTGTACAATTGACGGTGTTAAAGAAATTAAAAATTTTTAAAACAAAAACAAAAGATATTTTGTCTGTCCAGCTGTTTACCCTTTAGATTTTACGATTTTTACGGTCTGAATGCTACTTAAATAAGTCAAGTTTACCCACCGTAAATTATTTTCCATTTTTAACAATTTATTACCATTTTAAACAGCCCTTTTCTTGAAAACCGTGTTTGCATTAATTTTTTTTCTTAAAATAGGAAAAATCAACAGTAGTTATAGTTTCTATTCGTATGAATTTTGATCGTTATTAACATGCAATGTCAACTAAAAATAGTGAGAAATCTTATTTTTCTGTGGCATTTCTAAAAATTAATTTTTGACCAATCGGAATCAACGATGTTTATGTGATACCAACTATGTTTTCAACGTTATTACTAACTAAGATTTAAGCGGTTGTTCCATTTTTGTGTAACTAATCAAATCCGCTTAATTTACTTGAAAATTGTTAAAATTTTTTGATTAGATTTTTTTTTTTCAAATTGATTAAGGTGCCAATAGAAGTCATCAGAGAGCACCGCGGAAGAGCATTTAATAGGAAGTTCACGCCTCCTTCCCAACCGATGTCGCAAAAATTGCCCAGAGGTGGGGTTTGAACCACGGATCTTGCGTTTCTTAGGCAAGTGCGCTACCACTGCGTCGCGGCTGCTTAAATTCATAATAATATATGAATCGCTAACTTGGAAAAAAGGACATGTTATGTGAATTTTTGCAGGACATCTACCCTTTTTCAAGTTAGCGATTACTATTATCTCTGTAAACATACGGATTGACGTCACCGGATTTTTGGAAAGCGAGGCTACTAGATGTCTTTTGTGTATATTTAGAAAGTGCAAAAAGGAGTTCATCCGTTGATTGTTAAAAAGATTAAAATTTCAATAATACTTTTTAAATTTAAAAATTGATCTTATTTAAATTTAAAATTCTTATGTAGGCCTGAATCAATAAATTCTGCAACAATCTATATCTGCATGTAAAAATCTCTCTTACTTAATAGTCCAAATACTAAGTCTTAAGAACCGCAACCTTAGACTATTAGATGTTAGTCCAGATAAATTTTTAACTTATTTTTCTTATGCATAAAACTGATTATAGTATCAAGAGAAAATATAGTATCAAAAAGAAGGCTAATATATAGAGATATATTGATATATAAGGGTAATACTTAGAGAGGCCCAAAGAGAAGGCTAATATATAGTATCTAAGAGAAGGCTAATATAAGGCAAAATATAGTATCAAGAGAAGGCTACGAGTTCTTAAATGAAAAAAACTATTATTTTAAGTACTTAAAATATCAAAACTTGGAGAGAAAATAAATGTTGAAAAGTTTGTAAGAAACTTTATAAGTAATTAGGATGTAGTTAATACATCAAACATAAGGTTATACTTTTATTTTGTTTTATAACGATTTTCTTGAGGCAGCAATTTTGTTATTTTTGAGAGACTAATTTGAGCGAACACTGCGAACCGTTTCGGCCGCTTCACAAAATGAGCTTGTTATAAAATCAACCCCTATAAAGTGATTAAAACGATTTTCAAAACGAGTTATAGAACAGGGAAGTAGTTGACAGAAGACTTAAATAGTTTAAGGTCGTATTAATCAGGAAAACATAAGATGAGAGAGAGTTCCAAAGGGTTGAAGTGCGGGAAAAAACTAGACAAACAAAAATTTTTAGAGCAAGTAGGGACAGATGCAGTAAAAGAATTAGACTTTGCTGAATGACAAAACTAGCGAGAATGAGTTTCAGTTGATGGAACTATAGATGATAGCCTTTTTGAGCAGCGACTATAAAAAAATTTGTAGAAAATAGAAAGAGAGCGAGCACGATAAAGCGAAGCAACCTTGGCAGATGCTAATTTAGCAATCGATTGTATATATGATTTCTATGAAAAGTCAGTAGTAAACGATAATCCAAGAAGACGTAAAGTAGAGAATTCAGTTAGGGGGTTACCATTTATTATTATAGGAATGTCGACAATATTGCAACAGTTGTCTAGAAGTCTAAAAGAGCTACTTTAAATGTAAAGTTGTCGAGAAAGATCTAATGTATATAAGAAACAAAACAGGACCAAGGATATAATCTAGAGGTACCGCAGAAGTAACAAGAAAAGTATTGGCCTTTAAGGATGATTTTAATAAAGCGGTTATAATTAAACGATTTAATAATTTTGAAAACTTTCCGTGATACACCATATGAAACAAGCTTATGGAGAAGTCTAGCATGCCAAAACTTGTCGAAAGCCTTAGATACATCAAGAGCAATTGCCCTAGCATATCCGCCTCCATCTAATACACGATAAAATCCTTCGGTCATAAAGGTTGGCAAGTCAGCCGTAGAGCGAGTGGATCGAAAACCGTATCGATTGTCTGACAGCAAGTTATTTGACTCAAGATGGGTTGTGAGAAATTAGTTTATCAAAGACTCAAAGATCTTGCTAATAACAAAAAAAGAACTGATCAGACGATAATTGGAAGGGTAAGAATATTCACTGGAGTTTTTGAAAATTAGAACAACAGGTGCCATTTTCCAGCAGGCAAAAAAACAAGACTCAGTAAAGCACTTATTAAATAGTTAAGAGAGAAAAGAAGAGAGTTCTGGAGAATACTTTTGTAAGACTATCACAGTAATGTTGTCTGGACCACAAGCTGTCAAAAAGTTTAATCGCGATATGACTTTAGCCACCGAAGTTTGATTATTTTGAATGTCTAACAATGGATTAACCTGTTTAATTGGAATGAAAGGATGAGAATGGCCATAAGATTCTAGAATCGAGTTATAAAAAAAGTTCTTTGCAAATAGTTCTGCCTTAACCTTGAGAGAGATATTAGTTCAGTCCCATAAATGAGAGATAAAATTTTAGACCTTTGTTAACGACGATGTTGAAGACTTTTCAAAAGTCTCTAGAGCTTATCTTTTGAGTTAAGATACGATATAGTAAGATATACTCTATATCTTGTAAGATACGAGATTTAGTGAACTGAGAATAATGGAGCTTAGCATCTGACAGCACCTTTTTAAATCAATTTCTTGCAACAATAAAAATCCGTTTGTTCTCGAGTGAGTTGTCCTTCTGAAAAAAACGAAAATGATTACGACTTGATATTGCAGGTGCACAAGAGGGTGAAAACCATGGAGTGGAATGAAGCTTGTTTTGAAAGGAACAAAACCTTCTATTCCTGCTTGAATTGAAAAGGTTACGGAGCAGGTGCATTTTTCAGCTAAGAGGAGAAAGATATTAGCCAAAGGACCATCACGAAAAAAATAACGAAAAGAATCCCATTTAACTTTAGTGTAGTAACAAATAGTGCGATGATAGGGAGAGATCAAAGTAGTAGTACAAGATAAAAGATTTAAAGAAATTATTGTATGGTCAGAACCACCTAGAGGAGGAAAAGGAGAAACTGAACACAAGCTAGGATCAGAGACCAGACACAAATCAAGGAGAAAAGGTAAATTATGAGGGTTGTCAGGAAAACGAGTCACAGAGTTAACTATCTGAGTAAGAGATTGAGATATGCAGAAGTTATAGGTTTTAATGCCAGCACGGTCAGTGTGATGAACATTAAAGAGCATAAAAGAATAGTCAAAAGGTTTGAACCTAATTTCACGACAAATAGTTAAACTGATGCGTATGTATACCTCCAAGCAAAGCATGTGACTATTAGAGTCTTTACAAATCAAAAAATAGTAGCTGTCAACACTTAGATCAGAAAAAGGTATAGTAGAAATTAAATTAGTCTCTTTAAGAGAAGCAAGTCTGGTAAGTTTTGCATAAGGTAAGATTCAACTGATGGAAGGTTGCTTCGCAGACCACGAATAATTGTAAAAAATATATTATACCAGGTGGTAGAGATGGTTTTTTATGCTTAGTATTTTAGATTGCTTTTGGCATGATTTAAGTTTAAAGAGTACTTGTCTTATTCATAGATAGAGCATGGC